CTCTCTCTCTCTCTCTCTCTCTCTCTCTCTCTCTCTCTCTCTCTCTCGCTGCTGCTGCTGCTCAAGACCTCATTGATGACCTCATTGATGTAGCTGGGGAGGATTTCATCCTCACACTGGTGGTAGGGCTGAAATATTTGCACCTTCCGGATTTTGGAGTGCAGGCTGGAGACCTCAGGAGTGTAGGCCATTTTTCCCCCAAACTTAGGCACCATTTCAAGTCAAATGCACAAGGCCACCTCTCCCCAAAACCTCTACTTTGATTATCTATGAGGCCACCATTGCACTGATGTAGTAATGGCTCCAGAAACAAAATGAGCGCATCCCATTGAGTGAAACTCCTATTATAAGTCCCTAGAGAACGAGGGTTGTAAGACAAAGCCTGAAAACCCTTAATGATAGCAACTATCTGGAGCAGGCATACAACAGGGACTAGGAAAATCTTCCCCAAAATAATAACCGCCTCTCAGCCTCAGTGATCTTCCTGCAAATCTCCTTTGTAGGCCAGCTCTCAGGGGCTCTCTGCCTCTCATCACATTTTTCCAAGCTTGAAAAAAAATCCCAGCGCGCACAAAAGAATCTGTCCTTCTTCCAGCAGCTCTTCATTGCCATGTCTACAAAAGCTTATCCCCGGATGCCTTCTGGAAGCCTGACTTTTTTGGATTGCTTTCATTAGGGGATGCCCTACTTTACCGATTGTGAGCACAATGAAACTTCAGCATAAGCTAATACAAGCAGCTTCCTCTTTCACAAGGCAGCTAGTATAGAGTGACATCAGATGGCAGTGATGGAGACCCAGTCACGAATGCAAGAGGAAAGGTGCCAGAGACTTAAAGGAAACCGACCGGATGTTTGTTAAAGAACAAATTGCCGGGAGAGCTGGTCAGAAGGGAAGGGACAGAAGAGCAGACTGAGAATTTAACATCCCCAGACAGGTGATTACGATCCTGTTCCCCTGAGGTCAGAGCTTTGCCATGGACCAGGAGCTCTTTCTGTTCAAGTTCAGAGGAAGGCAGGGCTGGATGTAAAGCAAGGAGAGTGACACCTGAGAAACCAGCAGCTGTGAACCACTCTCAAGGGAGAGAAATGGTCTAATTTGCACATGTTCTAGCTAGGATCTTTGAGACGAAAGCTGCATGCTTACCCAGAACTGTTCAGCACAGAGGCCCAGAGCACTTGACAAACATTAGCTAATTCTGCCTGGGTATTTATAGCACACTCGCTGCAGTGGAGGGATTAGGTGTCACACTGTGAGGAAGGTATATTCATCCCCATGTTATAGATGAGGAAACTGAGGCACCAAGGAGGGACCGGGCTGTGGGGACACAGGGCTAGTTGGTCATAGACATGAGGCTAGTGCCCAGCAGCCTCCCTCTTCTATCAGCTACACAAAGCGGGGGTGGGGGTCAGAGTGGGAGCAGGGCTTTGCCGTGTGCCCCAGGATACTCTCTGTGTGCATGCTCTTATCCCACAGTAAGTGGAAGCTAGGCCATGGAGGCTAAGCTGACGTGGTTTGGCCTCCACTTACTCTGGGGTAAGATTGTGCACATGGGTGGCTACCACAGAGCACATGACCCTCTCCTCTACCCTTTTCCATAGGTCCATTGCCTCAGACCACCATACAAGCCCCTAAACAACAGAAACAAGAAACTCAATGAGGCCACCAGGCCTGGAACCCTCGATTCATACATGGAAACTCCCATTGACGCCACGGGGGCTCAGGCCCAGTCGCTGCTGTACAGCACACCAAAGGCCACGGGCTTGAGAGCAGTCTCCAGGGACACATCCCACATCTAGACAGGAGGATGTGCAGGTTTGGAGTGTGCCTGAGGGTGCAGGTGGGCAAGGAGTGTTTGGGCCCTGCCTGCCATTGCCATGGTATAAATAAAGCCCCTCAGGACAACATGGAGGCCACTGTTTGGGGCATGGGGCCATGCCCACCCAAAGCAGTGAGTGCTGCTGTGTGATGCCACCATCCTGGCATACTGGAGACTTCCTGAGCTAGAGGCAGGAACTTAAGAGTAAGGATCTACAGGTAGGGACCCCATGACACATACACCAACTCGTGGGCTGTGCCAGCAGCTGCCTTCTGCACACAGGGAGGCTGGACTGTCTGTGCACACCAGTTGTACGCTAGCACAATTCCAGTGTCTTGCAGGCAATACGGGATTTGCACTGGAGACATGAGAGGAGAATCAGGCACAGGCTACTTGCATGGGACTTTAAGGGAGGAAAGGTGTTTGCTATACTTTCACCCTCACCAGCCCAGTCAATGCAATCTCACTGGAGCAGGTGCAGATCTTTGACTATAACCAGTTCAAGGAGGGACTGTCATTTCCTGTGTGTTTGTACGGGATCTAGCACGTGGAGTCCCTGGTCTAGTTAAGGTTGTAGCAGGCACTACAGTAATACAAAGAGCAATGAAATTAAAGCAGCACCACTTTCAATCCAGCTGCACTGCCTGTTAGCTGAAGGTTAGCAGCAGGCCTCTGTCTAGACAGCACTGCTCCTGGAATTGAAAGCAGAGGTTGACAAAGAGAAACATCTCGGCTTTGAGAGTTTCTAGGGTCAAATTCTGATCAGATTTGTCTGTGCAACAAGGTAGATACCCAGCCTTCACTGGGCTCTCTGGACCCAAATGATCCCTGGCCTAGCACCATGGTTAGCAAAGTCAGGGGCCAGTGATACTTGCCAGCGATTTTGCTTTCCGGAGCTTGTAGGATGCTTTCTTTTTCTTCTCACTTGCCTGCTGGCTCAGGTCTGGGGTGAGTCCTCCGCCTTTCTTTCTCCTGCAAAGTGGAAAGGAGCAGCATCAGCAGTTCATCCCCAACAACTGAGAAGGGAATTCCTGCCTGGCAAACAAGGCTAATGCGAGGGACAGTTCAGACCCCAGGCTGCTGTCTCCCCTCTGCCCCCATCTCCCCTCTGTCCCTTCACACAGCGTTGCCTGTGTTGGTGTGAGACCCTTCTTCTGTGCGGCTCCTACCTCTTGCAGCTGTACTGCTATCCCAGCCACGTCCCAACATCCTGCTTTGCCCTGTCTGGAGCTCTCAGTTGCTGTCCCACTGCTAGTACTCACTTCTGGAAAGTGTTTTGGAGAGCAGGTCCATTTGACAGATGTAAGATAGAGTCAAGCAGACCTGTTCCATACAGATCATCTGGTTCAATGCAGGTCTGCATGAAACCAATACACATCGCCTCTCTGTGACATGAAAGGCCATTTATCAAACGGCACAAAGTGTTTTGGGAAAGCGGCTCTGCTACCACACACCCTTTCATGTAGGAACTACCTGAATGCCACAGGGCTGATTCTCAGTGCAAAGCAGGAGCACAATGTCCTGGCAGGGCAGCAGAGTCCGGCCCATAAAACTAAGCTGCTTTCTAGCATGTTTTATGTGAAAGCCGCACCAGACTATACGTGTGATCCCTGCTGTGTGTATGAAGCTGAGCCACTCACCTGTGAGAAAACTCTTCGATCGGTTTGAACCTGGCTCCTACTGCATTAGATTGAATGGTTCCCTACCGGTGTAAGCGTCATTAGCCTAATCTGGAGGTTCACTGATTTCCAGGTGTGCACCCATCTGACTACGCAGCTATCAGAACACACACTCACATAAACCAAGGCAAGCTGTGATGCAAATAACACCCTACCTAGCCTGCCTCTCATACGAGTCATTTCTACAACCAAGTTCATCTTCTGCTTGTCTTTATATGAATCTTACCAAAGCCAACATAACCAGCTAGATGGACATGACCCTTCTGCGCTGCGGAAGATGAATGATTATTGGAACACAGTCCACTGCAAATTTCTCTGCATGCTTACAGTAAATCCCAGCTGCAATGCTGAACCCTGTGGCCATCTGGAACCTTACGCTGGCTTTGGGATAAAATTACAGTCAAATATAAGTTTCCTGCAAGCTTTCTTGTGGGTTCTTCAGCAAATTTGCTTCAAGCTCCCCAATGCCCCTTTTGTGGACAGTATGTGCAACAAATCTAGCAAACAGTTTCACAGGCAGGAAGTTTCACAGGAATTGCAAGTTTTACAATGGTTTTCTGTTATTTGGTTCAGGTTCTTAAACCACATCCATCACCATAGAGTCTACTCTCCTGGATAACATGTCTAGAAAGCATATTTAAATTCAAAATCATAAATATTAATGTCAGAAACCTGACTCTACGAGTGGCACTCACCCAAATGGGGAATAGGAACTTGTGTGACCTACCCATCCTGCAAAATTAACACCACCGGTTAGATATCAGGTGTTCACACAGATCTGTTCACAGGCCAGCTGTAGACCAAGAACAGTTCTCAGGCATCAGACTATTTCAAATACCAAATTCAGGAAAATCTCCCCCTGGCTACAGATGGTTCCCAGCCCTCCAAGAGGCAAACTTCATGTAATACATCACTCCTTGTGGAAGCCTTGCTAAGCTCCCAACACCAACACATCCTTTCTGTTCCAAAAGCAGTTATCCTAATGCTTGAGAGAAAGAAGAATCTCTGCTGGTTGTTAACAACGTAGGGCCTATGAAACACAGGTGAGTAGTTCTGATTCCAGCCCACCAGAGCCCATTCATCTGAGATGCATTATTAGAAAATACAATTATCCATGTAGAAATCGGGGCTTGACGCCTGGTCATGCCCAGTGCTTGTGGTAACGACCATTTTGAACGTTCCTCTTCGAAGCGCTCTAGGAATACTAACCCTCAGACCACGTGTTTTCATTGTCCAGCAAGTCTTCAGGGCATCCCGATGAGACATGCAAGCATTAGTATCCTCTCTAATGGTTGGGAAACTTTAAGCAGGGGGGTGAAGGTCTTTCCCAACATGAGAGAGGGAAGAGGACTCAGAGCCAGGAGAAGAACTGGGATCCTGGCTCCCAGTCTTATACTCAAAACCTATCTGTTTGTCTCACGAATGGTTTAAATGTCACAGCCGAAATCAACATTGGTCGTAAACGTAAGCATTTGGGGCTGGCTGCAAAACGATCTGAGAGACAGAGGGTGAGGTGAGGTGTTAGAGGAACATTGAAATGCATTTCCCTTTACACAAAAGCAATCCCTGTTCTGTAAGAAACGTGGCCTGGGATGCTGAAAGGACAATTACTGGAAGTAATTATTTTCTTGTTGGTTAAATGCTCCGGCACAATATGCAACTGGCTTTGGAGCCTGCCTGAGTCCATAAATTAAGTGAATTAGTGCTGGCTTCCAGAAGCCGGAGCTAAGGAGGCGGCGTTCACTCCAGCTGACTGCCATCGTGAGAAGTAGCAGGGCTCCTTCTCAAAGTACACGGGACACGGATGTGGCAGGATTTCAACCTGATGCTGGAACCAGGATTCCTTATCCGTGATAAGATGGGAGACAGCACTTTTGATTTACTGGCAGCAAGCAGCACAACGCCAGATGCCTTCCAGCAGACCTGTGCAAATGGATGGAGAAGGTTCTCCACAGGTTGCTTTCCCAGGCGCCGGGCAGTCCCAGAAATGTCACAGAGTTTGCTGACTCGGTTCCAAATAAAAATGCATCATTTCATCTTTGCTTCGTGCCCCAGAATAGAGAAATTCATCCTCTCTATTACTGATTCTTGTTTGTGCATAAGCAGAAAAGCTACCTGGAAGAGTCAGTCGGAAAGCAAACTATAGAGAGAATATTGAAGAGCGACTGAGCTGATGATAGATCGCACAGTTAACGTATGAAACGGTATAAATCATGACTATCATTTCACTGAGGGGTTTGGATAACACTTCCAGGCAATCCATCATTTAACTCCTGCCTACCTGTCTTCTCTGTGCTTCTTTCCTGCTGTGATCCAGTAACTCCTTATTGTTCTCTTTGTTTGCTTCGCTCCCTCCAGCCCTTTGCATTTTCTTCTGCATCAGCCTGAGGTCCCCAAGGCCTCTCCATTATGCACTCAAAGTGCTATTACCTCTGTCTTTCAAACCCACCCCCGCATCCCCTCACCTTCCTAGTGATGCTTTTCAACTACAATGGCAACCTTCCCTCCGTCACACACATTGCTCCGATTTTGTATGTACAGTGTTGTACTGAACTAACTTGTGCCCTTCAGACAGGCAGCAAGAAAGACCATCAGAAAGAAGTTTCTTTCTTGGCTAGACCGGGTAATTTGGTACAAGGACATGTGATACATTGACTACCTACTAATGCATTGACTTTATTAGGTTGTGAAAGTGGAGCAGATCAAGATACACAGCTCTCCCCTGTAGTAAATCACTCCAGGTCTGTGGAAAGGTACCCAAATTTGTAGTAACCTCAATACATGAGAAATTACCCTGTGGAAGGTGTTGTGTGTCCACTCCCCAAGTCCCTAGCATCCTGGGGTAGCTCTTTGCCTACAGCAGACTGGCTCACTTACCACCTAGTGGCCAGAGGATGCAATAAGCACTTACTAGAGGCAGCCAATTTGGGTGCTGACAGACGTGCAGGCCCCTGCGCTAACTCATGGCACTTTACGTAAAGTGCCATCAGTTACAGCAGCTTCTGTGGGAGCTGTTTCCATCTCTCAAGATCTTTCTTCCAACATCTGGAGTCTAAGGAGACCACTGTGCATTGGGTCTTGTTCCAGATGGTATGTATTTATTCATTAGTCATAAAGGCAGGAAACATGGTTTTTGTTTTTACATTAAATCTTCAATTCTGCGGAAACTTAAACAGACACAAGGTCGGTGAGCTCCCACTGACCATTCCAACCAGAGCGGTTCACCAGCACCTGGGGGCTTATGGATTGCTTCCTTTAGGAGGGCAAATTGGAGGTGGAGTTAGGTGTTTCTCTGATGTGATTCCGCTTACAGAGGAATTACACACTGTTCTGCTTCTCTGAACACTGTAGCATCCAAACACCTTGATCATGGTGCTGTGCCTCTTCCAGCCAGCCCTCAAACACTTTTTTTTCTGGGCTTTTTCTCAGGGCACACTCCTACCGTTTGTTCCAGCCAGCTCCTTGGTTTTCTGCTGTTTCTCTTTCATAAGCATGGCTCCACCAAAGCAATCCCCAGCCCTTCTGGGCTTGTATTCAGCCCGCAGTAAAACTGGATTCTGGGATTGTGTGTGGTCTGGCTTGGGGCAGTTGCTTCAGCTCTCTTATTCTCTAAAGGAACTTAATTATGTCTTATATTCATCCCAAATGAAGAGCAGAAGTTCCAGCCACTAGCTTCAAGGAGATTTCATCTATTCCCAGTGTAGCTATTGAACAGCCTGGGCACGTGAGCTGCTTTTGCTGTGTACCCCCCTGTCCACCTATGGAACAATATTCACGATAAATGGGAACCAAGAGACGAGAGGTCATGCATGGAAAGGAAGAGACTTCATTCATCAGCTGATTGGGGCAGGGCCTGGCCAGAAGTCCTGCTTTCTGTTTGCTCAGGGGAAAGGAAGGGACAAGCGGCAGTGGCAGCGGTCACTCCCTGGGCTCCAGAGATACATGAAAGAAAGACAGGGGCTCTGGCCAGATGACACTAAGAGCTCATATGCAGCACAACCAAGTGGGGATGTGACCACATCTGGATCCACCTCTGGCCATGATACAAGGCCTGAAAGGTGAGGACTCTGCAGCAAAGGATTCTGAAAACTATGTATTTGTCCAAGGGGATGAACCACCAAAACAAGGCAAGCCACCTCCAGCAGTGCCCATGTACTGCACAACCAGAGGAGCCATCCCGGGAGAGAGAGGTGGGAGCAATTACTTTCAGCTTAAGCGATATTTCATAGTTTCTAGGGTCGGAAGGGACCTGAGCAGATCATCTAGTCCGACCCCCTGCCATGGCAGGAAAGA